GGCTAAAAAACCAGCCATGTTTTCATGCCTATTCAAAAAGGTCACTCACTGAGTATTGAATATTCTACCTGTTTACCAATGTACTTAACTATAGAAATACAATGTTACTTATAGCCGTGAGCTGGACTTCTTAACCATTTTAAACTTTACACTATGCTAAAATACCGTTGACCTTCAAGCCCTTAATAATTTGCTTTGCCTGTTAAGTTTGCTTTGCAATCCCACAGGACAGAGTCCATCTTTCCATTTTAGCATCTGTTTCATGTATTATAATTGTCAATTTGAATGTCTAACTTCCCCACTGGGCCATGAGCTCCTTGAGGTCAGAGACCCCTGTAACTTCAGCAGGTAGACAAGAAGCTGAAATTGTAAAGCTTGTTCGACTACAATATTCTTTAATCAATAAAGTTGTGTGAATAGATAAACTGTTTTATTAGCTCACAAGAATAAAAACTATTGTGCTAGAAGATGAAACCCTAGATTTTAGTATTTAAAATTCTTCACTGAGGAACTTTCATGGTGTTTGAAAATGGCCTTTATAGAGCATGTCAGACTTTGAACCATCCATATTTACCAGCTATAATATATCTAATTCTTTCTGAATTTCTTTTGATAATATGCTCTAATAGAAAAAGGTAATATCAGCCTTCTCATCAAATGATTGAGACGGCCTCATTCCTCTTACATGAATGACGTGAGCTTAATTATGTATTTATCCGAAAAGAGACCATATGTAACATCTGTTGTTCACAGGACCGTTATGAATCGGAACCCTCTTTAGAGCACCTCACAAAAATATAATATTGACATGATTTCTATGTACTGGAGATTCACATTTTTTATTTCAATTTGTATAGTATCTCCCTTTTATTATGAATAATTTACTAAATCTCTGAGCTCAATTTCATAACTGGACACATACATACTAATTTTGTACTTTTACCTTGCTCCAAGGTGAAAAACTGATCACTAGATTAATGGTTTTAAATTATCATAATTTTATGGAAATTCTAAAACGTTTAGTAATAAAAATGACTTTGATTTTATCTTTATTGTTCATTTCTTCTTGATGAAATGAGTTAATTCCAAACATGATAAAGTGGAACATTTCTCCAGATACACCCATAATCTTTTCTTTTTTTTT